GGTTCAGTATCTTTGCATCACCACAAGTGGTTCAGTATCTTTGCATCACCGCATGTGGTTCAGTATCTTTGCATCACCGCGTGTGGTTCAGTATCTTTGCATCACCACATGTGGTTCAGTTTCTTTCCATCACCACATGTGGTTAAGTATCTTTGCATCACTGCTGTGTGGTTTAGTATCTTTGCATCACTGCTGTGTGGTTTAGTATCTTTGCATCACCGCATGTGGTTCAGTATCTTTGCATCACTGCTGTGTGGTTTAGTATCTTTGCATCACCACATGTGGTTCAGACCTTTTCATCACCGCATGTGGTTAAGTATCTTTGCATCACTGCTGTGTGGTTTAGTATCTTTGCATCACTGCTGTGTGGTTTAGTATCTTTGCATCACCGCATGTGGTTCAGTATCTTTCCATCACCACATGTGGTTCAGTATCTTTGCATCACTGCTGTGTGGTTTAGTATCTTTGCATCACTGCTGTGTGGTTTAGTATCTTTGCATCACCGCATGTGGTTCAGTATCTTTCCATCACCACATGTGGTTAAGTATCTTTGCATCACTGCTGTGTGGTTTAGTATCTTTGCATCACTGCTGTGTGGTTTAGTATCTTTGCATCACCGCATGTGGTTCAGTATCTTTCCATCACCACATGTGGTTCAGTATCTTTGCATCACTGCTGTGTGGTTTAGTATCTTTGCATCACTGCTGTGTGGTTTAGTATCTTTGCATCACCACATGTGGTTCAGATCTTTTCATCACCGCATGTGGTTCAGTATCTTTGCATCACCACATGTGGTTCAGTATCTTTGGATCAGTACCTTTGCATCACTGCTGTGTGGTTTAGTATCTTTGCATCACTGCTGTGTGGTTTAGTATCTTTGCATCACTGCATGTGGTTCAGTATCTTTGCATCACCACATGTGGTTCAGTATCTTTGGATCAGTATCTTTGCATCACTGCTGTGTGGTTTGGTATCTTTGCATCACCGCATGTGGTTCAGTATCTTTGCATCACTGCTGTGTGGTTCAGTATCTTTGCATCACTGCATGTGCTTCAGTATCTTTGCATCACCGCATGTGGTTCAGTATCTTTGCATCACCGCATGTGGTTCAGTATCTTTGCATCACCGCATGTGGTTCAGTATCTTTGCATCACTGCATGTGCTTCAGTATCTTTGCATCACCGTGTGTGGTTCTGTATCTTTGCATCACTGCATGTGGTTCAGTATCTTTGCATCACCGCATGTGGTTTAGTATCTTTGCATCACCACATGTGCTTCAGTATCTTTGCATCACCGCTTGTGGTTTATTATCTTTGCATCACCGCATGTGGTTCAGTATCTTTGCATCACTGCATGTGCTTCAGTATCTTTGCATCACCGCATGTGGTTCAGTATCTTTGCATCACCGCATGTGCTTCAGTATCTTTGCATCACCGCATGTGGTTCAGTATCTTTGCATCACCGCATGTGGTTCAGTATCTTTGAACCACCACATGTGGTTCAGTATCTTTGCATCACCGCATGCCGTTCAGTATCTTTGCATTCCTACTTCTATTTAACACACACACAAATACTAACATACCTGAATATATGTTGGTGGTGGATGGTAGGGAGGTAGATGTAGTTTATATATATATATAAATACAGGGTGCCTTACAAGTTTCCGTAATAGAAAATATCAGCAGCACCGTATCAGCATAGCTCCAGTTGTACTGATGTTCTTTAGCAGTGGAGGATACATTTCCTAATCTGGTTACAAAACAATGTTGAGCAGTGGTTCTCAAACTCTGTTAGGCAAAAATAATTACACGGCCCACCTACCTTTACAGCTGTTTGAATATTCAGGAGAAGAGAGAGAAAAGTGCATGTTTAATGTTTAGTTGTCTTTAATGTGATAAATGAAACAGCGAATTTTTCATTATTTCCTTCATGTTTATAGGAAGTTTAGTTTTGTTAATTTAATCGTCAAATCACTTGACCCAGAAAGTTTGCTCCTGCATGTTTTCTTATGTAAGCGTATGTTGAGAATACACTGTAGCCTTGTTTTCTGAATACATCTGCACCCAGAACTCTTCTTGGCTTTCTTGGTGGTATTTCTGTTTTAAACTGCTGTCATTGCTGATCTCAAGCAGATTTTTTTTTTAATTTGATTATCGAGGCGGCACACCTGGCAGACACCTGCCACAGCACACCTGGCAGACACTTGCCACAGCACACCTGGCAGACACTTGCCACAGCACACCTGGCAGACACTTGCCACAGCACACCTGGCAGACACTTGCCACAGCACACCTGGCAGACACTTGCCACAGCACACCTGGCAGACACTTGACACAGCACACCTGGCAGACACTTGACACAGCACACCTGGCAGACACTTGCCACAGCACACCTGGCAGACACTTGACACAGCACACCTGGCAGACACTTGACACAGCACACCTGGCAGACACTTGACACTGCACACCTGGCAGACACTTGCCACAGCACACCTGGCAGACACTTGCCACAGCACCTAGTTTGAGAACTGCTGATAAAGTGCACATTATTTTTTTTTTTTTAATGGTGTTCTTAAAAGCATTTATTTTTCTTTCAAATGCCAACTTATGGGACATCCTGTCTGTGTGTGTATACATATGAGCCCTGATTGTCCAACACACATGGTTCCAGGCAACTCTGCATCCATACCCCCCCCCCCCCAATGCTGCATGTGTCACTGACAAAGAGCAAATAGCTAGAATGTGAAATAACTGCCAGCATTACTAGATAGGTTTACTCACAGACTGCCAAATCTGAACTTTTACATATCAAGCAACTGTGGCACAGATTCTGTTCAAAAGCCAGAAGAAACATCAAGATTTGCAACAGTCAGCGCGGTTCCGAGCTCAACCCAGCATCATTAACCAAAAATGAGTCCCTGTATGGGGGTGAAGCGGGCGTCTGTGGCTTAGGCGTTGCGAGTCCGACTCGTAATCCAACGTACCGCAATCGAAACCCACTGCTGGCTGCGTGGATATTTATCGTAGTATGGGGCGTCGAAGGTCGACCTAGCCTAGAATGGGTACCAGGATGGCTGTCCTAGGGAGTAAAGACGGCCGGCATAATGCTGACCACATTACCCATCCAGTGCCGATTGGTCTGTAAAAATATGGGACGCTCTGCCCATTTACCCGATGCGCCTGAGGCGTAATAAGGGGTCTTTATTTACTTTTTATATGGGGGTGAAAGGCGACAAGGAAAGCAACTGATATCCCCTGCCCATGGTCATGAATGCAGAAGGTCTAACACTTCACAACACAAAAGCAACATCTGCTATGAGGATACCCTCCACATGTCACCCCAGCACACTGTTGTTTTTTTAAGCATTTAATGGCTTTAAACTCCAGCAAAAAGTTCTGATGGTACATTCATTTCTGGACTTTAGTCTTGTTCCAGAAATTGAGTTTTGTGTGCACATCCGTTTTACAGATCTTAACTATTTGGTTATTTGCCTCTCATTCAGATGCACTCCAACCTCCAAGGAAACCCCTAATGAGTACACACTTGAACCAAGAAATCATGACTGAAGACTTCAACAACAAACAAATATATAGTAAATGAATTTATGGAAATCATCTGGACATAACACAACACATTGTCAGACCCAATGTCTACACACAGACAACAGTACAAGGCTGCAGACCATGTGCACAAGCATGCCGGGAATAACTAGAAGAAAACCTGCAATACGTGAACAAATGTTAATTCCAGACCTCACGGGACCCTTTTCATGCCAGGAATCTGATGCTCAACTTCTGTTGAGACCAATCAGTGCTTGGCGGATGATGTCAATACCAGGCTGGCCCCCTTTACTTTCCAGGATATTACCTGCTAGCCATTTTAGGCTGGGTCAACTAGGATGCCACGGTTTGTAAAATCCTTGTAGGTCTACTTGATCTACCTTTTATCAGCCCCTGGAACACAGCTCCTCAATAAACTCAGGCCAAGCCATCCTATTCTTCACTATCACATGCAGAGCCGCATTAGTGCAGTCGATAGGAGGCTTGCTTTCAAATCCAGCTGTGACTCGCTGCAGCCACAGTCAGTGTTCGAAACTGGGCAGTTCCCGGAGTTCACCCAGCCTCTAGGAAATGGGTACCAGAGTGACACTCTGAGGTAAATGGAGGAATGTCGCTGCAGCTACAGAGTTACATGCAGATGGCGACACAGGCAGACAGTTTCTCATCAGCTGTCCGTACTGGCGTCAGAGCACTTATGGTTTATAACTGTGTGCAATGACGCTGGTTCACATCTCCCGACTGACTTTACTATCACATGCAGCTCACACAATGTTCTTCTTATCTTTTTTCCCTTTGCTCTCTAGTTGCTTACTCTTATTTTTTTTCTGCATTCATTCCTTTGAAGTTATGGGATCTAGTAGTGTATGTGTTTTCTCATTCAATAACTTTAATTTATATCATTTGTCGGAGCCAGACTTTTGACATTAGCTCCCGGGTAGTTCCAGCCTTAAATGGGTATCAGGTAAATTCCTTGGAAGTAAAGGAGTCTGGCATGATGCTGACCTCATCACCCACCAAGTGCCGACTGGTCTATATAATATAGGTCTAGCCCTATGTGCCTGAATGTGTGGAAAAGGGTCCTTTACTTACTATCATTTGTACATTTGCACTAACACATAAACCCATATCATGGTCTGTATATTTCCTGTCTTATATCTAAACTCTTGCCAGTACATTAATGTAAACTTTTCAAGAGCTGTTAGTGTATATATGGAGAGAAAACACTTAAGAATCTTTGAAAAACTTCTCAGTAACATCATATTCAAACAGCCTACAACTGCTGCTGCAATATCTGTGATTATTTCATTAAAAAAGTTAACAATTTTCCGAAACATTTCTTGGAAAACAAAATGAAGCAGTATGTGATAATCATGAACAGATGTAACACTCTGAAGCTTGCAGTGAGGCTCAAACTTCAAGGTGTTGGTTCTTGTGATGGTCTCAGCTGAAGGCTATGTTGAGTCTGCCAAGATCACATTTCAGCTTATCAATGTCCTCACCCCTGTAGGTAGACAAACAGCAAACTGGAGATAACTCAGCCTTCATTATCACTCCTCAACAATATATCTTATGTATAACAGACAGTGTTAAGTCCCTGATAACAACCAATGAATATATGAAAAGCTGGTGGGTGGGGAGCCTCTGATTCATGCAGAGGTGTTTCAACTACTGGTATGGTCTGACTTCCTATCAAATAAAACAAAAGGCTAGAAAGAAAAAAGACAATGAGTCATAAAACTGCTCATCTCTACACTTTACCAAACTGAAGAGAAAACTGAACAACAGGACTTGAGTTAATTATTGACAGATTAGCCTCAATACCCATCAGACAAGTCTATTAAGCACTCGACCCCATCTTCAGTATGTTCTCCAGCAACAGGTGATTGATAATACCAGTTTGGCCACCCGTAAAGAGCAATCTATGAATTTAGAAGACGACCAAGACTCATCTGGATAGATTATATTGAGGCGATCCCAGACAAGCATCTACCATGTCCTGGAGACATGACGAAGAACGGGTGTGGATTCCCATGCACACAGATGGATGGACAGACAGAAATACACAGACAGTCAATAAGATAGAAAGACAAAGAGACAGCTTGGTGGGTGAATGATGAATGTGCAAGAGGACATACAGACAAGAGACACATTTAAAGAGGAACCATAGTAACACACAATTTCTACACAAGTCAAGAATTCTAATGAAACCAGTAAACCATGGCTAAGGGAGCCACGAGACAGATGTGGCCAGATGCTTGCCTGCTGACCCAAAGTTCTTTCTTTGAATCCACACTCGGCTGATTTTTTTTTATAAATGACGTGAACTTCTAGGCTGAAATAAATCTTCTTTTTCTTCTGTCCCCTCTGCTAATGCCATAAAGTGTTGCTGAGAGAAGTCAGATGTAGTATCCTGTCTTTTATCCTCTTGCATCTGCCATAAAGTGTTGCAGAGTAGTTAGATGTAGTTTTCTGTCTTTTATCCTCTTGCTTATGCCATTAAGTGTTACAGAGAGTAGTCAGATGTAGTTTCCTCTTTTATCCTCCTGCTTATGCCATAAAGTGTTGCTGAGAGAAGTTAGAGGTAATATCCTAAAATGAATACTGGGGAAAACCCTGGAAAGTAAAGGTGTACATCAGTGCTGACATCTAATGCACCAACAGCATTAAGAGTCCTTAATTTACTTTTATTTATAAGCTGGCCAAGGATGAGATCATCTACATGGGCTGCACGTAACTATGCAAGAATAACAAGACTTTTATTTCCACGCCCCTTAGTGTTACTTACAGCGAATAAGGTAACACCCAGCAATCAACTGGAACCTCTTATAGTCCATTCCATAGGGCATTAGTAGTCCCGTCTGTCCACAGCCTTTTGCCTCTTGTAGTTTCACTATTTCCCTATAAATAAATTGGTCCATCATAACATAACCAAACTGATCAGCATATTTTCTCTTGGTCTTCTCTGCCTCTTCTTCCCTTCAACTTTCCAACTGTCAGGATGTATTCATTTTTTCCCTTCTCAGAATGTGACCAAACAATGTAGATCATCTCTTGATGCCAGCAGTTTCAATGAGTTAATTTCTTTCAAGACATCACACAATTTTTTTCCGCTTCATGGTGTTTCTGTCCCACACCTACATATAAAACAAGAATTTATTAATGCGATGAAACTACACAAGCATAAGTGAAGAAGTCACATACTCATCCTTCAGTACATCATAAATCTGTGATAGCTGCTTCTTTTGCAGAACAGGTGACTCAGTGGAAGAAGACTTGGTGATTTGTCTTTCCTGGTACTGTTGTTTAACTCTAACCTGAATTGACAAACAAAATCAGAAATGAGTTTTGCAGGTGGCTGCCACATTGGCAGTCATAAATGTACACAACAGTGAAAGGATTACAATAACTGCTTGAATGTCTTGAGAGCTGAAATAAAATTATTTTCTAAAATTAACGAGGTAAGAAGACTGAGGAAAGCCACAAGTTTAATCAAGAGAAGCCCAGGGTGAAATGATACTATGAGACAGGCTGTGGGAACAAAGCCTCGTGTCCTATATATTGAGAAACTGAAGATCAAATGGTCTGCACATGCCAAAGGGCAGCAACTCATTACGAATATAATCATCATGTAGCAGGTCCTTTGTAGAACGTCGCTCTCGTCACAGTCTGCCTGTAAGAAACTCGGTCTCTTGCCAGTTCTCCCGCCTCATGAACTTTCACACTTAAGGAGTCACTTATATCCTGTGCCCATCTTTGTGTCGGTCGGCCTCTGCCCCTCCTTCCTGGTGGTTATTACGAATATAGAGACATTAATTGATTTGTTTCTTCTTTTGTCAATATTGGCTTTGTTCCGATAGGCACTGGAGCTTAACAGATGCTCACAGGCTCAGCTACTTGGTTGTGAGGTCTTAGACTGTCACTTACTCCTTCAATTAATTTTCTTGAAGGTCTCCTTCTGCTGCTAGATGTTTCCACTTTCATGCTGTACGCTCTTGCTGCCGGCATTGTTTGATTCACTCTCACTAGGTGGCACAACCGTGATGCTTTTTGTTTTTCAATGACTTTAACTACGATCATTTTTATAACCTTTTCATTTATCAAACGATCTATTCTAGTTTTGATCTCAAACATCTTATTTAACAGATGGTTTTTTTTTTTCTTGTCTTCTTTGGTTAATGTCCAAGTCTGACACTAGAAACCAAAGATTGGAATTCACAGACACTATACTAAAAAGAAAAAGTATAAATGAGCCAAATAGCACTCAAGAAGAACACACACAGAGTGACATCATTCAAGATACTGGATATTCACAGGAATCGATGAATGGCCACCCATGGAGCGCTAGACAACCAAATACTTCTCCTTTGATACTTGACAAACAAATACTTCTCCCTTAATACTTGACAACCAAATACTTTTCCCTCGATGCTTGACAACCAAATACTTCTCCCTCGATACTTGACAACCAAATACTTCTCCCTCGATACTTGACAACCAAATACTTTTCTCTCAATGCTTGACAACCAAATACTTCTCCCTCGATACTTGACAACCAAATACTTCTCCCTCTGAAACTTGACGGTAACTGGACAACCAAATACTTCTCCCCTGATACTTGACGGTAACTGAACAACCAAATACTTCTCCCCCCTGATACTTGGCGGTAACTGGACAATCAAATACTTCTCCCCCCATACTTGTGTTCCAAGACTGCCATGTGTATTGTTATTCCTGTGTTCAGTACAGTGTACCAAGACTGTCATATGTATTGTTATTCCTGTGTTCAGTACAGTGTTTCAGGACTGTCATGTGTATTGTTATTCCTGTGTTCAGTACAGTGTTTCAAGACTGTCATGTGTATTGTTATTCCTGTGTTCAGTACAGTGTTTTAAGACTGTCATGTGTTCAGTACAGTGTTTCAAGACTGTCATGTGTATTGTTATTCCTGTGTTCAGTACAGTGTACCAAGACTGTCATATGTATTGTTATTTCTGTGTTCAGTACAGTGTTTCAAGACTGTCATGTGTATTGTTATTCCTGTGTTCAGTACAGTGTTCCAAGACTGTCATGTGTATTGTTATTCCTGTGTTCAGTACAGTGTACCAAGACTGTCATATGTATTGTTATTCCTGTGTTCAGTACAGTGTTTCAGGACTGTCATGTGCATTGTTATTCCTGTGTTCAGTACAGTGTTTCAAGACTGTCATGTGTATTGTTATTCCTGTGTTCAGTACAGTGTTTCAAGACTGTCATGTGTTCAGTACAGTGTTTCAAGACTGTCATGTGTATTGTTATTCCTGTGTTCAGTACAGTGTACCAAGACTGTCATATGTATTGTTATTTCTGTGTTCAGTACAGTGTTTCAAGACTGTCATGTGTATGTTATTCCTGTGTTCAGTACAGTGTTCCAAGACTGTCATGTGTATGTTATTCCTGTGTTCAGTACAGTGTTCCAAGACTGTCAATTGTTACTGTGTTTAGTACAGTGTTCCAAGACTGTCATGTGTATTGTTATTCCTGTGTTCAGTACAGTGTTTCATGACTGTCATGTGTATTGTTATTCCTGTGTTCAGTACAGTGTTTCACGACTGTCATGTGTATTGTTATTCCTGTGTTTAGTACAGTGTTCCAAGACTGTCATGTGTTCAGTACAGTGTTTCAAGACTGTCATGTGTATTGTTATTCCTGTGTTCAGTACAGTGTTTCAAGACTGTCATGTGTTCAGTACAGTGTTTCAAGACTGTCATGTGTATTGTTATTCCTGTGTTCAGTACAGTGTACCAAGACTGTCATATGTATTGTTATTCCTGTGTTCAGTACAGTGTTTCAAGACTTCAGTATTGACTGTTCAGTGCAGTGTACCAAGACTGTCATGTGTTCAGTACAGTGTTTCAAGACTGTCATGTGTTCAGTACAGTGTTTCAAGACTGTCATGTGTATTGTTATTCCTGTGTTCAGTACAGTGTACCAAGACTGTCATATGTATTGTTATTCCTGTGTTCAGTACAGTGTTTCAAGACTGTCATGTGTATTGTTATTCCTGTGTTCAGTACAGTGTTCCAAGACTGTCATGGGTATTGTTATTCCTGTGTTCAGTACAGTGTTTCAAGACTGTCATGTGTATTGTTATTCATGTGTTCAGTACAGTCTTTCAAGACTGTCAGGTGTTCAGTACAGTGTTTCAAGACTGTCAGGTGTTCAGTACAGTGTTTCAAGACTGTCGTGTGTTCAATACAGTGTTTCAAGACTGTCACATGTATTGTTATTCCCGTGTTCAGTACAGTGTTTCAAGACTGTCATTCCTGTGTTCAGTACAGTGTTTCAAGACTGTCATGTGTATTGTTATTCCTGTGTTCAGTACAGTGTTTCAAGACTGTCATGTGTTCAGTACAGTGTTTCAAGACTGTCATGTGTATTGTTATTCCTGTGTTCAGTACAGTGTTCCAAGACTGTCATGTGTATTGTTATTCTGTGTTTACAGTGTGTCATTCCTGTGTTCAGTACAGTGTTCCAAGACTGTCATGTGTATTGTTATTTCTGTGTTCAGTACAGTGTACCAAGACTGTCATATGTATTGTGTGTTCAGTACAGTGTTTCAGGACTGTCATGTGTATTGTTATTCCTGTGTTCAGTACAGTGTTTCAAGACTGTCATGTGTATTGTTATTCCCTGTGTTCTGTGTTTCAAGACTGTCATGTGTTTTACAGTGTTTCAAGACTGTCATGTGTATTGTTATTCCTGTGTTCAGTACAGTGTACCAAGACTGTCATATGTATTGTTATTTCTGTGTTCAGTACAGTGTTTCAAGACTGTCATGTGTATTGTTATTCCTGTGTTCAGTACAGTGTTCCAAGACTGTCATGTGTATTGTTATTCCTGTGTTTAGTACAGTGTTCCAAGACTGTCATGTGTATTGTTATTCCTGTGTTCAGTACAGTGTTTCAAGACTGTCATGTGTATTGTTATTCCTGTGTTCAGTACAGTGTTTCAAGACTGTCATGTGTATTGTTATTCCTGTGTTCAGTACAGTGTTTCACGACTGTCATGTGTATTGTTATTCCTGTGTTTAGTACAGTGTACCAAGACTGTCATGTGTTCAGTACAGTGTTTCAAGACTGTCATGTGTATTGTTATTCCTGTGTTCAGTACAGTGTTTCAAGACTGTCATGTGTTCAGTACAGTGTTTCAAGACTGTCATGTGTATTGTTATTCCTGTGTTCAGTACAGTGTACCAAGACTGTCATATGTATTGTTATTCCTGTGTTCAGTACAGTGTTTCAGGACTGTCATGTGTATTATTTCCGTGTTCAGTACAGTGTTCCAAGACTGTCATGTGTATTGTTATTTCTGTGTTCAGTACAGTGTTCCAAGACTTTCATGTGTATTATTTCCGTGTTCAGTACAGTGTTCCAAGACTGTCAAGTGTATTGTTATTTCCGTGTTCAGTACAGTGTACCAAGACTGTCATGTGTTCAGTACAGTGTTTCAAGACTGTCATGTGTTCAGTACAGTGTTTCAAGACTGTCATGTGTTCAGTACAGTGTTTCAAGACTGTCATGTGTTCAGTACAGTGTTTCAAGACTGTCATGTGTTCAGTACAGTGTTTCAAGACTGTCATGTGTTCAGTACAGTGTTTCAAGACTGTCATGTGTATTGTTATTCCTGTGTTCAGTACAGTGTTTCAAGACTGTCATATGTATTGTTATTCCTGTGTTCAGTGCAGTGTACCAAGACTGTCATGTGTTCAGTACAGTGTTTCAAGACTGTCATGTGTTCCATGGACTGTCCTGTGTTGTACAGTGTTCCAAGACTGTCCATTATTGTATTCCTGTGTTCAGTACAGTGTTTCAAGACTGTCATGTGTATTGTTATTTCTGTGTTCAGTACAGTGTTCCAAGACTGTCATGGGTATTGTTATTCCTGTGTTCAGTACAGTGTTTCAAGACTGTCATGTGTATTGTTATTCCTGTGTTCAGTACAGTGTTTCAAGACTGTCATGGGTATTGTTATTCCTGTGTTCAGTACAGTGTTTCAAGACTGTCATGTGTATTGTTATTCATGTGTTCAGTACAGTCTTTCAAGACTGTCAGGTGTTGTACAGTGTTTACTGTCAGGTGTTCAGTACAGTGTTTCAAGAAGACTTTCAAGACTGTCACATGTATTGTTATTCCCGTGTTCAGTACAGTGTTTCAAGACTGTCATTCCTGTGTTCAGTACAGTGTTTCAAGACTGTCATGTGTACTGTTATTCCTGTGTTCAGTACAGTGTTTCAAGACTGTCATGTGTACTGTTATTCCTGTGTTCAGTACAGTGTTTCAAGACTGTTATTCCTGTGTTCAGTATATTGTTTCTAAGACTGTCATGTGTACTGTTATTCCTGTGTTCAGTACAGTGTTTCAAGACTGTCATGTTTACAATGGCTATAGTTTACCAACCTGCTCAATGCTGTTGACATACAACTGTATGTTGTCTTTGATCTTGGTGAGTTCCTTGGCCATGTGTCTCTCAGCTTCTGACAGAACTGGCACTCTGCTTTGAATTTTTCGTAGCACGGATTCCAACCTGAAACATTGGGTGTAATGCACAGTTAGATCTGACAAATACGTATACACATTATACAAACATTTTATAAATTCGCAGAAGAGCTACAATAATCAAGGTCTACAGCCTTCTATTTTGTGTTCTGGCAATTATTTCTGACATTAATTTTCTTCCATGCCTCTATACCACAGTCTAACATCTAACCTCTGTCTCAACCTAACAACCTAATCAACACAAGACAATGTCTGAAGAGCTTAAGCACTGAGATATGACAGAAGCACAGTAATATGACACTTCTGCATACACATATTTGTGGAATATCTGATCCAATAAACATTACCCTCTATGAAGCAGACACCAGATGCCCCAATAATCTTATCAAAATCTTTCTAATGACCTAACTAAAAGGCAAATCTGAAGTGGCGAACTACAAAATCCTCAAACAAATTACAAATCTGCACCAGACCGTCTCTTCTACCCAATGGTAACTAAGGCTAAAAGAACACACTACACCAAGAAAACAACAAACCTTTTCAATAAATTCTCGTGGTCATCTTTACAGGTCTCCAGGCGTTCAGCGATGGTGCGGGCATGTTCCCTCAGTATGTGTCTGGAGTCTATCAGCCGTTTCAGGTCTTGCAGCTGGTGTTCCTTGTGTTCTCTCAGGATGTTTATTCTGTAGAGTGCATATTGACGCATTTTTGTTAGAAAAGTGCAACTAACGGAGATGATTTTCTACACTACTACATTCAAGTTCTATGTAAATTATGGGCAAAAGTGATCAAATAGATTCCAGCTTAAAGGAAGCAGAAACACCACTGACCTGGTTATTATAACAAGAACTCTGTTATGTGACATACTCTAATCTTCTTCACACTCACCGGCTGTAAACTATGGTGAAAAGTAATGGATGTTCATCCACCTCTGGATTTTAGACTTGTTCCAGAACCTTAGTGTTGTGTGCACTTCCATTTTACAGGTCTTACTTATTGGTATGCAGACTGTTGGATCCTACCTAGCCTCTCAGGCAGATACACAGCCAAGAGCTCCTGCCAGAAGGTTTGGGTAGTTACCAGCCAAGGAAAATACCTGGTCAAATGCAGCTACTTTTGCTTTTGATATTCATGAGGGGTTCCAGAACAGATAGGTGACGATTGGGACAGCATCTGATCTTTAGGATGCTTACAACAGATTCAGATATGATAATTTGTTATCGGTGCTCATGTAGAAGGGAGTGTAACCCTGGCTGGTGAAATGGATAGCAGCTGTCCTGCATTCACTTATGGTTGCCCTTCATCTAGATACATGGACCTCAGAACCATGTAATATCGCACCGCGACTATCCTCGGGTTCTGCTATCCCACCAGTGCTCTTCAATGTATTTACAAGCAAGACTGCAGAACTAGAAGCATCAAGTGGTGGAAGGATATTGACATTTGCAGATGACATTCTTGATTATACGAGGGGAGTGATAGGCAACAGACAGCCCAATAGCTACAGGCAACTGTAGACAACGTGACTGGTGTGCAGAGATGGGTACTGTCATCACCTCAGGAAAGGTGACTATTTTATGGTGCTCTCCAGACAATAGAATTGTAAGAGCTGATGTTCCAAATAATGACAGAAACATGAAAAGAGAAAGCAAACCGAGGTACCTGGGCATCATTTTCAATAGATGCCTATCCTTCAGGGATCATGTGGAGGCAGTTTTGGTAAAATGCCAAAAAAGACTCAATGCTCTAAAGATTATACCAGCAAAGGACATGGAACAAAAAAATTATATTCACAATGTACTAGCATGTGATCCTGTCAGTGATAGATTATGGACCTGGAAGGTCTACCATTTAAAAGAGTCAACTGATGAAACTTGAACTCGTACCATGCGGCTAATTCTGGGATGTACAAGAGACACTCTGATATTATGTATCAATATACTTTTTGCACTGCCTGCTATTGCAGATAGGCTCAAAGTTCTGCAAGCGAAGTAATTTTTAAGAGTAGCTGCAGACAAGACGCGCCTCCTGCATGAAACTCTAGGTAGAGCTAAGGGTCACAGACTGAGAAGAGGAAGGTCTTGGATGGTGCAAGCTGAGGACACAATTGGACATGTGTGCAAGCTTGATACATTTGGGCAAGGAAAGGAGTGAGTCAAAGTGTCAGAGCAAGAATCAGTCTTGTGTAGGGTTCTAATCACTTTACGTGGTGCGTGCAGGGACTGGCCAGCCGGTGCTGCAGAATCAGAAGTTCTACAAATGATTCATGACAATTCCCACCCAAGTGATGTGATTATCTATACAGATGGCTCTGTGTTGAGAGGCAGATGAAGTGCATGGGAGTTAATAGAAAAAGCAAATGGACATCGCTTAGTGCAACAAAGCCTGGTATATGATATCATGTCTAGTTTGAGAATGGAGGTGGGGGCAGTCACTGCTGCCTTCAGCTTGCTATAGAATCAGCTGTACACGCATGTCCTAATTCTAACTGACTCACAGAGTACGTTGATAAAGGTGGAGACAGGCATGCTCCGTGCAGAGTCGCAAGCATCACTTCAGAGGTCATGAGTAGTTAGCATCCTTTGGATACTTTCTCCAGCCTATGCCAGTGTGTTGGGAAACGATCAGGCAGATAGACTGGCCGGTTCTGCCAATTAGTGAGAAGGTATAAAAAGATCACTAGTCAGAGGAGAATGGTGCTGCAAGGAGTTACTAAGGAATCTGGCCAACGCTCAACACTCATGGGAGGGGCGAGACGGATTTACAATCAATAACTTTTGCCATCAGAATTGGAACTCATTGCTTGCTGCTAAAGATGGGGAGGAAGTGTTTATGACAGTGTCTGAGTGCTGTAGTGTCGATTGTTAATTCAACATTCACACTGAATTTAAAAAAAAACCTGATGAGTTGACTCTTACGACATGCTTGGCGGGGAGGCAGTGGGTCTATTCTTGTTTTCCCCACAATGGGGCCCCGGAATTCACATGTAGAACTAATACAACAGATACAAACCCTGTGTATCAAGCAAAACTAACCCATCTGATAATGATATCTTCTACTTTTGTGTTCACCCTTCAAAGGGCTGATGTCTGCATCTTTTGGCACAATACATCCGATTTCACCAAATCCTGGTATGATATGCTGGTTATGGAGAGTGGGTCTATTTTTGTTCTCTGCTGAGGCCTCAGAACCCACATGGTGAGGATGATGATATCACTTTCACCTTTCACCTCAGTTTTTGTTTCTATGCGTTCAATGGCAGTTCTGGTTGTTTGTCAACTTCTAGATGTTAATCTTGTTCCAGAACCCGAGTTTCACGTGTACATCAATTTGACAGGTCTGGCTTATCTGAATGTTATTCTTTCTCCCTCACAGCCACCCTTCCCCCACAAAAGGCCCTGGAACCCACACAGGGAAAACATACTGCGGGGAATTGCAGTTTGCTGTTTCTACCATGTTTCAGGACAGTGAAGGACACTGGGGTCTTGATCCTAAGGATCAAGAAGGAGCACAGCAACTGCTGTCGCCACAAACTGTGCAGGTTATTATTTGTTTTGTTTGCTTTTGTGACCCCTGAAATAAATGTCCATGACTTTACCGGGGATTCAAACTGGGTCTCCTATAAGAGAGAACAGCATTCTAACTAACAGGCCATCTGTTTCCCTACTACACTGTAAAATGTGATTTAATAACTAGGTACAACCTTGCATCTAGTTCACAGTCAGCACAATTACCCTCATCTGATGATGGTGAACATCACATACTGACTTCACATGTTCTGACTTTACATGTAATGACTTCACATGTTGTGACTTTACATGTTGTGACTTTACATGTTGTGACTTTACATGTTGTGATTTACATGTTGTGATTTACATGTTGTGATTTACATGTTGTGACTTCACATGTTATGACTTTACATGTTATGACCTCACATGTTGTGACTTTACATGTTGTGACTTTACATGTTATGACTTCACATTTTGTGACTTCACATTTTGTGACTTCACATGTTGTGACTTCACATGCTGTGACTTTACATGTTATGACTTTACATGTTATGACTTTACATGTTATGACTTTACATGTTATGACTTTACATGTTATGACTTTACATGTTGTGACTTTACATGTTATGACTTCACATGTTATGACTTCACATGTTATGACTTTACATGTTATGACTTTACATGTTATGACTTTACATGTTATGACTTTACATGTTGTGACTTCACATGCTGTGACTTTACATGTTGTGACTTCACATGCTGTGACTTCCCATGTTATGACTTCACATTTTATGACTTTACATGTTATGACATCATATGTTGTATCTTCACATTTTGTGACCTCATGTATTATGACTTCACAATTACATGCTTTTAGTGTAAGTGATAAATAGTAACAACCTTGTGTCCAGCTCCTGGCGAGCCAGGTCTTGTCTCTGAATGTACTCCTCTCTCAACACTTGAGTAGCTCTGCTCAACAGCTGGAAGCAGTCTTGTTGTGACAGCGTTGAGATGTTGCCTGATCTGCCCAAATTAAAAACTATCACTGTGATACACATGTCAGCCAAGCAGTCTTACTGAATAAACTATAAGTCTAACTGTCCCACTACCAAGCCATACTCATGTATGTGTGTTGGGAAATGAGCAGACAGTCAGAATGGCATGACAAGCTAGATGTTATCAAGGCCCCTTGGAGAAAGTGAACAATGAGGAGGCACATACAGCCAAACATCACCATTTGAAGAGAAAGGTGCAGCAGGGGGTGTGACCAGGGGGCCTGAAACATTTACAACTCAGGGGGAAGGCAAGAGGGACATACAGTCAGACTGTTACTGGCGTTTTCAGAACTGGAAATCAGCGTGGATATAGGGAAATCATTCAGGTGCTGGGAAACATTACAGGTGCTGGGGAACTTTCCAGGTGCTGGGGAACCTTTAGGGTATGAGAAACATTTCGAGGACTATGATGTCGGTTTTTAACTCAACACAAGGCACACTCCAGCTTCCTCCCACTCACTGTATGCCCAAAATTTTATTCCTCTCATGGTATACCCAAGGGTGTTCCAAAATAGATAGGAGATACTAATTCCTCTGTTTCATGGTATGCCCACATCCCCTCCTTCTAATGGTATACCCTAATTCCCTCCCTCTCATAGTATATCCAAATTCCCTCCCCTCATGGTATGCCTAAAGTTTCTTCCCTCTCATGGTATGCCCAAATTCCCTCCCTCTCATGGTATGCCCAAAGCTTCTCCCTCTCATGGTATGCCTAAAGCTTCCTTCCTCATGGTATGCTCAAAGCTTTCTCCCTCATGGTATGCCCAAAGCTTCCTCCCTCCCATGGTATGCTCAAAGCTTCCTCCCTCCCATGGTATGCCCAAAGTTTGCTCCCTCTCATGGTATGCCCAAAGCTTCCTCCCTCCCATGGTATGCCCAAAGCTTTCTCCCTCTCATGGTATGCCTAAAGCTTCCTTCCTCATGGTATGCCCAAAGCTTTCTCCCTCTCATGGTATGCCTAAAGCTTTCTCCTCCATGGTATGCCCAAAGCTTCCTCCCTCCCATGGTATGCCCAAAGCTTCCTCCCTCCCATGGTATGCCCAAAGCTTCCTCCCTCCCATGGTATGCCCAAAGTTTGCTCCCTCTCATGGTATACCCAAAGCTTCATCACACTGAAGAAGAGTAAAAGATAACAAGTGAAAACAGGAGGTTACTTACTTGAGCAGCGGATTCGAGGTCCGTTTCTGTAGTATCTGCTCCATCTGTTTGCTAAACGGCTCCCTGCTGTTGTATCTAAGAGGTGACAAGAGGCCAGCATTAACGCCTGCATCCTCCGCTGTGTGCAAGGAGCTCAAGCGGTAGTGAAGTCTGTAAATAGCATAAACAACAGTTGTAGCAACAGAACGAACAAGGCTAGCATAAAAGTAATTTTCACATAAGGAAGAACTACAGAAAGATGTTACGAGTATACAATAATTATATCTTTGCACAGGCTGGACTGTGAGATTTATAAAACTAAAACTTTGACAATTAGCAGTCAGGTTATACTGAAGCCTGTCATGGATTTCACTCTTTACCCACTGAAGGTTACCACAAAGTCACAGCAACTGCCCCAGATGATGGTAGACAACCAGAACCCACCAACAGCACAACAAGCATGTTGAGCATACAAGTACACTCACAGTGATCTTGTTCCTAGCCTGCTTGGATGCAATCAAATCCTCCCAGGTTTCTATTTTTATTTATCTCAACCAACAGGAAATTGTTTCTAGGCTTTCAACCACCCAACTATCTATCCTACTAACCAGTCACCAATCAAATCATTTTATTAACCAGCTATCCATCAATCCATTCAACAAACTACTAACAAACCAACCTTCCATGCCATTAACAACCATTCATCAATCCATTCAACAAACTAATAATGAACCAACCTTCCATGCCATTAACAACCATTCATCAATCTATTCAACAAACCAACCATCCATCTAACAAGGCAACTAAGAACCATCCATCAATCCATTCAATGAACCAAGCAACCAACAATTCATTAATCTTCAACCACCCATCACTAAATCAATCATCACATTCAACATGTTTCAAAATAAAGGACTAGGCATGGCAAATATGTAGCTTCAAAATTATTTTTGCTTCCAACAGTGCTTTGCTAATGCAGTTTTCACATATGGATGCAAGTCTGTGGTTTCGCTGCAGCAGCTACCAAGTTTAGTGCTTAATGCAGAACTGTGAGCTGCGATTTTTCATGTGGAATGCTCTTCATTCTTCAGTGATTGTGCCGTGGTATTCAATATAGCGGTAGCCAGTTTACAAGTGGGCTGGTGAAAAACTGTATGTAATCATTTTAAGCGTCTATGGCCAACTTATCGTGTACAACTACTTCCATCAACGACAAATTACATTTCTGGTGCCGACAGTTGGTTTTGGCACCTATAGCAACTACCAAATGCATTGATTGTGTGAGATTAGTTTTGCATTGTGCCTAGACTAAATGTCTGTTTCACCAGTTTTTCAAATAGGACAGTGAAGGACAGTTTATTTGACTGTCACTGGCACAGGAACGGAGCAAGTATGGAGTGTCCCTGGTTGCAGTGAGGTTGAAACCTCAACTATGACTACCATGCATCCCATTATTACAGAAATACACCAAATTCTGAAACTGGTCGCCAGCTTACCCAATGGGAAGAGCAGTAAACTCATAATCACTGGAGAGTATCAGAAGGGTTGGCCCCAACACAGGGTCTGACACAACCTCCACACCCAGAACTGGAGACGTAGGACTGCAGAGAAATGAATACAAAATATAAGATACTGAGATAAGCATTACCAGTGTCTTGTTTCATGTTCATAGTGAATTTACGAGCAGATGCACACACAAACATGCATGCGCACCCCACCCCCCCCCCCCCCCCCCTCCCCTCAACTGATCATTCAAACATGATTTCAATTGTAAATCGCTTACTGCTAATGAACTCTCAAATGTTTAAAGGTCACTTTCAATAAATATCACTTAAAAACTGTCAGCCATTTTAAAGAAACAAAAGATGTTTTACAATGACACTGAATGTGACAAATCAAGAATCGATTATCACCCCTGAATTCTTATTTAAATATTACCTCATACCAAGAATTCCCTGGGAATTTCAGATCATTCTTCTTCTTTTTCTTCTTTGTATTCCATGGCTGTAAACTAGAGTGGACAGTTTTGGTTGTTAATCCACCTTATGGACTTTAGTCTTGTTGCATGCACATCCATGTGAGAGATCTGGCTTATTTTTACGCAGACTGCTGGTTCCTTGCCTCTCAGGCAGATGCAGTCCAACTTCACAAAAACATCCATAATTAGTCGACTCTCAGGACATGATTGTAAGGGGGCAGTGGGTCTACATTCTTTGTGTTTCCCACAATGCAGCCCTAAAATCCACACGGGAAAGATCATTCTCTAGTCATTACAACTGTGGTCCCTGAAATTTATTATTTAAAATAAAAACCCTCGATTCTCACTTAATTTCTGTTAATTCTGAAGAAGTTATAATGCTCTCTGAGTTTCTATTTTAAAAACCCACTGAACCTGGGAGTCCTAAGCAAAGTATAGGTCACTCTGAAGGAGTTATAATTAGGGTCCCTGATTCAATTCTACAAAATTCCCTGAACCCTTCCTTCTCGAAACTGTAATTTTTTCTGATACAGTTAATTGCTCAGTAAGAATATGGGAATTATTTTGTCACCACTTCCGAAACTGTGTAGGCATCTGATCCACTTGCCAGGTTCAACCAGCTTTCCGCACATCTCTAGTTTCTCATGTTTTGTTCACACTGTGGGTATCTAAATGGTGAAGTGGTCAAGCTAGATTACTCAGGTTCTGAAGGTTGTGGGTTCAGTTACAGTCAGTAATTAAGTTTATGAAGGTAGGTGTTCTGGAGACCACTGGGCCGTCACTGGAGCCAAGGAACTCCCCTGCTTTGTGTGAAGTTTTCTGAGAGAACACAGTTCCTATGCAGACAGAGACCAAGCCATATATTACAACACCTAGTCGAATGAAGTTGACTCTCTTGCCTTAAGCACTGTTATGTAGTTACATAATTATACTTAAGTATCATCATCACCATGTACTATATCAAAAAGTAAAGGCAGTCAGGCTTCCACATGATCACAACATTCATGAATGAGGTCAGTGTTCTTGTCCAGCCCCCATCCATGTGGCCAAGCCAGTCAGGTATTTATCTCTTTATCTTACATTTGCGCTTGTTTCCATCAACCCTGTCAGTTGTTTATCAAGTTCTCAGGTTTATTCCTTCTCATAATATGTAAAACATATTGTCTGTCTAGGCTCTGTATACACTTTATGTTATTTAGTCTTCATTTTTGTTACTCTGCAGAGTACTGACAAAAATAAAACTAAGATAAATGAAAATCTTCCATAAAGTAACAACTACTTACCATGTGACCAAGGGTTTGGTGCATATTAAATGTTCAACAACGCATTCTTTTTCCTCCGGCATATTGAAATCTCCAGATTCATCTGTGGGAGTTCAGAACAAGGGAAAAAACGAGTGTCCATCAGGTATATTTATTAAGATGTCAGCTGCAGTAAAAACAAGAGTGGTCAAGAAGTGCTAAAAAGTAACGGCTCCCAATGAGCTCAGACCTGTAGACCTCTCTAATCTTTAAACATCTGCCATGCCCCCCCCCCCCCTTTTTTCCATACTTTTAAATGTTACATTGAAAAACTTATTATTTACAAATATTAGAATCACAAAAAGGATTCCATTCTAAAGTTAATGGGAATGTCACAGACCCCTTAAATGTGTTTCATGGACCGCTTAAATCCATGGACCACCGAATGGGAAACTCTGCTTTAAGAATATTCACTTTTGTACCGACACGAGACATAGACAATAAGTACACAAACTAAAAGACACCTACTGGCAGCAGAGAAGAAAAGACAGATGAAAATGATAAACAGATTAGAGAAATTAGATGCAGTCAATATTTGCTGACTATGTGTCGCATGACAGCCCACACCCCTCTAGTCATGGACCTGCCCATATCTTGTCACCTCTATGCAAATTAGGCACTTTTAAATCTTGGACTTTCCTCTATAGGTATGTCCTACTTTTGTACTTATATATCAAGATTTTGGGTTAAGTATTTAATTATATCCTAATTCTCTTAGGAATGATATATATTCAAATTCAGACCTATAGGTGGGAGATTCATAAATAGTGAAGCCAAATTCCATGGGCCTAACTACCTCTTTGGACATGAACGAATCCCCTCCCGCCTCTACTGGAAGAGACGCTTAGTTTGAACTCACTCTTGACTGAGATTTCCAGGACTGACTGAGATTCCCGGGAGGACAGAGGCTGCTGCCTTTGTTGTCTATTTGCTTACCTCTGTTTGAATCACCGATTCACCAGGGAATGTCTATGAGCATGAGATGTTATTAATATCTGGAGGCCCAGTTGACAATCAGTATCCTAGCACTATCCAGTGTAGCCCACAGCCAGATCACAGGAACAGGGATCCTCCGGAAACAAGGCATTCCTGTCCATGCCACATATCAGTGGCTTCACAAACTGTCTGCTGTGCTACAGGGTGAATCATCATCAGATTGTGTCTTCTACCAGAAGATTTTTTTGTGAGGGGTTGCCAACAACTGCCATGACCAGAGGGTGGCCTCAAGTGAACTGTAATTTGTTTCAACAAGAACTTATGTCCGTAAATTAACCTGGACCCTTAAGAACATGTATGTGTATTCTAGAGGACAATCAAAGTTCTACGAATTCCAGTGACTAATATCCATTCTTTATGATGGAATCAACCAGACTGCATGCCTGCACTTCCAGATGTTGGAGGAGGCCTCAAGTCAACTGAACAAGACATCCTGGACAGCTAAGTGGGTCACATGTGCTTGCGGTTAACTCTAACTTTCAGTGTCAGTTGCTTAGGTCCAAAATTCCACAGGTGGTAGTAATGAATACAGCTGTGGCTAGGGACTAACCAGAAGTCCATCTGGAGTGGTATATTCTTTGCTTCCTTAGCTGGTTTGATTGTTCCTGCTGAATTTTATTCCTAATTTTCCTACATGTGTTGCACTGATTACATGATGTTTTGTTATTTGGCAATGTGTGGTTAGTGTCCATCATTCACAGTTCTTAGGTGTCTAGAGTATTTGTTACATTGTTTTAATTCATGGTATAGTGTGTTAATGTGACTAGCACAGGATTACTGTCTAGTCTGGGCGCTTGAAAATAGTGGAGAAGTCAGGCCAAGTTGCTCCTAGGAATGTTTATGTATTCTGTAGTGCCATAATTTGAGTAGCCTCACCCCTAAAGTAGGTTGGATATTCATTGGAGCTGTGGGATTCCGCCTAGACCATTGCGAGCCAACATCTCAACACTTCAACTACTAGAGAGTGCCTTTTGGTTCATTAGGGGAAAACCTAACATAGGTATGTGATAACAGCATTTGTGACACTATGTTAAAAGAAGGAATAGAAGGCAACAGTCTGGAGACCACAATGCAGAACTTACCCGTAAAGTAGTGTTCCACAGTCCCTAGCCAGGGCAAGGCTACTGAATGTACGCCTGCTGCGTGGGCACAGTGATATCGGTCAAAACAGCTGTTGTCTGAAAGGGTTAACAATAGCCTTTTTTTTAGTATTGTAACTATGAGTGTATATGTGGTTTGCTGAGTGTACAAGGATCAACAGTTTCCAGTAGTCTGTCGGTACTGTAACTATGAGTGTATATCTGTGGTTTTTTGAGTGTACAGAGGTAACCAATCGTCCAGTAGTCCGTTGGTACTGTAACTATGAGTGTATATCTATGATTTGTTGAGTGTGTAAGGATCAACAATGGTCTAGTAGTCTGTCAGTACAGTAACTATGAGTGTATCTATGATTTGTTGAGTGTGTAAGGATCAACAATCGTCTAGTAGTCTGTCAGTACAGTAACTATGAGTGTATCTATGATTTGTTGAGTGTGTAAGGATCAACAATCGTCTAGTAGTCTGTCAGTACAGTAACTATGAGTGTATCTATGATTTGTTGAGTGTGTAAGGATCAACAATTGTCTAGTAGTCTGTCAGTACAGTAACTATGAGTGTATCTATGATTTGTTGAGTGTGTAAGGATCAACAATCGTCTAGTAGTCTGTCAGTACAGTAACTATGAGTGTATCTATGATTTGTTGAGTGTGTAAGGATCAACAATCGTCTAGTAGTCTGTCAGTACAGTAACTATGAGTGTATCTATGATTTGTTGAGTGTGTAAGGATCAACAATCGTCCAGTAGTCTGTCAGTACAGTAACTATGAGTGTATCTATGATTTGTTGAGTGTGTAAGGATCAACAATCGTCTAGTAGTCTGTCAGTACAGTAACTATGAGTGTATCTATGATTTGTTGAGTGTGTAAGGATCAACAATCGTCCAGTAGTCTGTCAGTACAGTAACTATGAGTGTATCTATGATTTGTTGAGTGTGTAAGGATCAACAATCGTCCAGTAGTCTGTCAGTACAGTAACTATGAGTGTATCTATGATTTGTTGAGTGTGAGGATCAACAATCGTCCAGTAGTCTGTCAGTACAGTAACTATGAGTGTATCTATGATTTGTTGAGTGTGAGGATCAACAATCGTCTAGTAGTCTGTCAGTACAGTAACTATGAGTGTATCTATGATTTGTTGAGTGTGAGGATCAACAATCGTCTAGTAGTCTGTCAGTACTGTAACTATGAGTGTATCTATGATTTGTTGAGTGTGTAAGGATCACCAATAGTCTAGTAGTCTGTCAGTACAGTAACTATGAGTGTATCTATGATTTGTTGAGTGTGTAAGGATCAACAATCGTCTAGTAGTCTGTCAGTACAGTAACTATGAGTGTATCTATGATTTGTTGAGTGTGCAAGGATCAACAATAGTCTAGTAGTCTGTCAGTACTGTAACTATGAGTGTATCTATGATTTGTTGAGTGTGTAAGGATCAACAATCGTCTAGTAGTCTGTCAGTACTGTAACTATGAGTGTATCTATGATTTGTTGAGTGTGAGGATCAACAATCGTCTAGTAGTCTGTCAGTACAGTAACTATGAGTGTATCTATGATTTGTTTGAGTGTGTAAGGATCACAATCGTCTAGTAGTCTGTCAGTACAGTAACTATGAGTGTATCTATGATTTGTTGAGTGTGTAAGGATCACCAATCGTCTAGTAGTCTGTCAGTACAGTAACTATGAGTGTATCTATGATTTGTTGAGTGTGTAAGGATCAACAATAGTCTAGTAGTCTGTCAGTACTGTAACTATGAGTGTATCTATGATTTGTTGAGTGTGTAAGGATCACCAATAGTCTAGTAGTCTGTCAGTACAGTAACTATGAGTGTATTTATGATTTGTTGAGTGTGTAAGGATCAACAATCGTCCAGTAGTCTGTCAGTACAGTAACTATGAGTGTATCTATGATTTGTTGAGTGTGTAAGGATCACCAATAGTCTAGTAGTCTGTCAGTACAGTAACTATGAGTGTATCTATGATTTGTTGAGTGTGTAAGGATCAACAATCGTCCAGTAGTCTGTCAGTACAGTAACTATGAGTGTATCTATGATTTGTTGAGTGTGTAAGGATCACCAATAGTCTAGTAGTCTGTCAGTACAGTAACTATGAGTGTATCTATGATTTGTTGAGTGTGTAAGGATCAACAATCGTCCAGTAGTCTGTCAGTACAGTAACTATGAGTGTATCTATGATTTGTTGAGTGTGCAAGGATCAACAATAGTCTAGTAGTCTGTCAGTACTGTAACTATGAGTGTATCTATGATTTGTTGAGTGTGTAAGGATCAACAATCGTCTAGTAGTCTGTCAGTACTGTAACTATGAGTGTATCTATGATTTGTTGAGTGTGAGGATCAACAATCGTCTAGTAGTCTGTCAGTACAGTAACTATGAGTGTATCTATGATTTGTTGAGTGTGTAAGGATCAACAATCGTCTAGTAGTCTGTCAGTACAGTAACTATGAGTGTATCTATGATTTGTTGAGTGTGTAAGGATCACCAATCGTCTAGTAGTCTGTCAGTACAGTAACTATGAGTGTATCTATGATTTGTTGAGTGTGTAAGGATCAACAATAGTCTAGTAGTCTGTCAGTACTGTAACTATGAGTGTATCTATGATTTGTTGAGTGTGTAAGGATCACCAATAGTCTAGTAGTCTGTCAGTACAGTAACTATGAGTGTATCTATGATTTGTTGAGTGTGTAAGGATCAACAATCGTCTAGTAGTCTGTCAGTACAGTAACTATGAGTGTATCTATGATTTGTTGAGTGTGTAAGGATCAACAATCGTCTAGTAGTCTGTCAGTACAGTAACTATAAGTGTATATCTATGATTTGTTGAGTGTGTAAGGATCAACAATAGTCTAGTAGTCTGTCAGTACAGTAACTATGAGTGTATCTATGATTTGTTGAGTGTGTAAGGATCACCAATCGTCCAGTAGTCTGTCAGTACAGTAACTATGAGTGTATCTATGATTTGTTGAGTGTGTAAGGATCAACAATCGTCCAGTAGTCCGTTGGTACAGTAACTATGAGTGTATCTATGATTTGTTGAGTGTGTAAGGATCAACAATAGTCTAGTAGTCTGTCAGTACAGTAACTATGAGTGTATCTATGATTTGTTGAGTGTGTAAGGATCAACAATCGTCTAGTAGTCTGTCAGTACAGTAACTATGAGTGTATATCTATGATTTGTTGAGTGTGTAAGGATCAACAATAGTCTAGTAGTCTGTCAGTACAGTAACTATGAGTGTATCTATGATTTGTTGAGTGTGCAAGGATCAACAATAGTCTAGTTAAAAAGTAAAAAAAAGTAAAGATCCCTTTTCACGCCTTTCGGCGCATCGGGCATATGGGCAGAGCGTCCCATATTTTTACAGACCATCAGCACTCGGTGGGTAATGTGGTCAGCATTACGCCGGCTGTCTTTACAGTCTAGTTAGTATTGTAATTATGAGAAGATACATGTATTTTGTTAAGTATCTGAAAAAAGAGACATATATGACTTACCTTTCTTTAAAAGAACAGGACACATAAAATCATCCTCGAATGAAACGTCGCCATCAAATCGTGGCAGCTTCAAACACAGTTCCAGTTCTGCAGTTTCAATGACGTACAACACCGGCTCTGCTGGGAGCTCGTGGAGACTTGTGTTGGATACAGAGCGTATGGGGCTGGATATGTCAGACTGCAGGGGGAAAATGTGGAAGACAAACTTAAATTTTCTTCATCAAATGATGTCCCACAGCAGTGTTGACAAAAGCACAGTTCTTTCCAAATGTGACCCGAGGTCAATTGATAACCAACCATGAAATGTATGTTTCTAAGGGTTTCGTTTTGACATCCCCACCTCTTCAATCCAGTTTCCCATTTATGTGCCTGTTTTATGCTTCTTCTTGGATATACCTACTATACTGCCAGCTTCTTTGTCTTATAACTTTAGATGCAGACAATTCACATCAGAACCAGTCACAAGAGAAGAAGAAACTTGGAATATGTCACAGAAGGTTGGAGACAAAGAGAGACATGATAAGATATTAGACAGTTTGATAAGATCAAATGTAAAGGTAAAAATTAGCTCAAGGAAAGCTAGAGATAAGAGACACGAGAAGATAATAGACAGTTTGATAATATAAAATATAAAGATAAAATTAGCTCAAGGGTAGTTGGAGATGAGAGACATGAGAAGATAATAGACAGTTTGATAAGATAAAATATAAAGATAAAATTATCTCAAGGGTAGTTGCAGATGAGAGACATGAGAAGATAATAGACAGTTTGATAAGATAAAATATAAAGATAAAATTATCTCAAGAATAGTTGCAGATGAGAGACATAAGAAGATACTAGACAGTTTGATAAGATAAAATATAAAGATAAAATTATCTCAAGGGTAGTTGCAGATGAGACACGAGACGATACTAGACAGTTTGATAGGATAAAATATAAAGATAAAATTAGCTAAAGGAGAGTTGGAGATGAGAGACACGAGACGATACTAGACAGTTTGATAGGATAAAATATAAAGATAAAATTAGCTAAAGGAGAGTTGGAGATGTGAGAAATGAACGAATGAATAAACAAACTTTATTTTCAAAAGGTCACAAATTGGGCACGCAGGCCCGTCTTACATTTGTCCCTTTCAATCACCGGTTTTTCACACCGCAGCTGTATTTTATCAGTAAGCATGTTATATTCATGTGATAATATGCATATTATGAGAAGATACTAGATAGTTTTAAGACAGAATGTAAAAATACACCCACAGTGGTTACTGATATTGGGATCTGAAGTATAAGACCTTGAAATATTCTAGCCATGACATACAAGGTCAGGTGACCAATCTCTTTCCAGAACATTCTGAGGGCATGAAGAAGCAGCTAGATGGAAAATGATTTGGCAGAATTCAGAAAGAAGGCCATAAAGATACTTGAATCATGTTGACCACCATACAAACCAGGAAAGACAATCAGTCATGATGGGAATGAGACGTCTGAGAAGGTCGGCAGAAGTAAACAGAAGAGAGAAAAGTAGGAATGAGGTTATAAAAGAAAAAGTCAACAAAGAGTAAATTTTAATTTACATATAAAGACAGCAAATTAAATGGTTTGTCCACTTGGAGAGAATGCCTTGGGATGCCATACCATACAAGGCATACACCAAAAAAAAGAGGAAGACGTAGAGAGCAAGGCAGACCAAGAACAACATGGAAAGATAACATCAGAAACTCTACAACAGCACCATATGTCTATGGTTAAGGCGACCAGAAAAGCAAAAAGCAGAATCTTTTATCTTCCTTGAGACCTGAAGCAGTAAAAGAGGAAATGAAGAAGGCGATGAAGAAGAAGACCATTATATTGGAGTATAAGAAGCAGTGAGAATAACTGCTTCCTTAACTGCAGATTGAATGGAGGATGCTGTTTTGGGGACAAAAGATAAACGGTCCACACGCCTGACAATAAGTAAAGTAAAGCACCCTTTTCATGCCCCTGATGCACTGGGCATTTGACGGTAAACTCATATTTGTATAGAAAAAAAATGTTACTTGATGGATGGTATTGTCAACATCACGCCAGCCACCTTCACTCTCCAGGGGATTTCCTGGTACCAATTTAAGGCTGGATCGAATTCAGAGTCAATTTCACTTTTTCCCGCAAAAGCTGCCAACTGCAGATTCACATCTAAGACCTGCGAGAAGCAGGCAAGTGTCTAGCCACTATGTCCGGCAGCTTCCACACACCCCCCCCCCCCCAACCTGACAGCAGTTAACAAATACCAATACGAGACACAGAAGATGGAATTACCTGAGTGGTATCAATGTCCAGTGTACCAGGCAACTGGACACAGTGGTGGACTCTGCCTTCACAGGTGCTGATGATCACCACAGGGAACGGAGTGGGCAGACAGAGGATGGAGCAGGCGTCCACCCCATAGTTGTCTTCGGCTGGAGGATACATCATCAAGGGTCCTTGTACTGGCAGCTTGATTAGGCTAGACGGGACAAACATAAACAGTGAGTGTATTAGAGATGAGGGAGCCCAACATTCGCTTTAGGGCCGAATAGTGGACCCAATAACTATTCGGTATTCTGCCAAATACTTGCGGTCAGGCCAAATACTTGAATAGTAGTTACATTACACCTACTTCTGCAACCACAGCGCCTCCTGCAGCCACTGCAATTGGATGAAATAACACAATAGATGAATAGACGCTGTTGCCTGAGTCTGCTGTAGCAGTGGACACTTTGACTCAGTGGCGTGGTACAGCAGCTGGCGAGGTCGCTGCCTGCTGACTCGACTGAGGCATTACAGTATCAGTGTAGTCCCAGGTTGTATTCAACGCTTGAAGCTTGAGCTTAGTGAAGTGTTAGCTGACGTACGTTAACAACTTTTTATAATTAATTGAAATTCAATTTCATTAAAGTTTGGTTACATAACAATATTAATTATTCAGCAATGGATAAACAAAGTCTAATTTGGAAATTTTTCAGCCTGTTGAGGCAAAGAATAGCAATATTCACATTTTCACTGAAATATAAGTGAATAACTAGTCAGAGCCGTGCAACACATAGATACTCATCCATTGGATTGGTGGAAAATAAACACGTCAAGATTTCCCACTTTGGTTCATACTGTCAAGTATTACCTGTGTGCATCACCTACGAGCGTACCAAGTGAACATCTGTTCAGTACTGCTGAAAATACCTTCAGTGAGATGAAAAGCTGCCTTATTGCTGGCAACAAGGAATGACTGGTTTTGTTGAAAGCATTAACAAAGCTGTCAGTGACAATTTACAAGTTGAGTTACTTGTTATAATACTTAAAATACTTTCATTCCTAGTTATTAGTTACCACAGACTGACAGAAAGATGCAAAACATAAAATGTTTTAAAATTTTACTAATCTGTATTACATTTTGTGAAGTTAAAAGTTCAGCGTACCTTTGACATTACTGATGTTTTTTAGATCTATTTTATACACTATACACTTCGTTTTTGGGCCAGAGTAGGTCACGTTATTCGTATTCAGCTGAAAAGCGATAATCACCCATTTGGTAGAGCTCTAATATTGAGCTTAAACTTGTAATAAACGCAGTCAAACCGAACACTGGTTTGAGATGTTATAAACAACTTTAAACTAGCAATAAACATATTAAAAACATTCAAAGCTTCAAAAAGATGCAATGACATGCACCAGATAAAAAGCATCATAGCTAAAAAATAAAAAAAATAATACACAAAACCAGCAAGATAATGCAACTACCTGAACTGTGAAAGATGTGAGTACAGCAGCATGACTTCTCCACTTCCTCTCAGGCAATAAACTGGCCAGACTTCAATAGGATCAATTTTGGCAGACATCTGCAGGACTCTGGGCTTTGGCTGCAAGATGATAGGAGGCCCAAAATCAAAGGCAACAGCAATATCGCCGAGGGCAGCACCAACAAGAGATCTTGATGGCGAGTGAGTCACGGAAACATCTCCAGTATTGACATTGATGGTGCTGATGGGATGATCTGGCTGCTGGATGTCGTACACACTGAATGAAAATAACATTACAGTTTTTTATCAATAATAATTTTGTGGTTAAGTGTTGTGAGAACACTTTGTGACCCATTGGTTGATGGGTAGTAATGGCTGTTGTCATTCTGTATCAATGTGGAAGATCTTTAATATCATCAATCTATCTTCTCCTAGTGTCTCTTATTTCATATTAGATCTTTTAATATGTTTGGCTGCATTCTAATAAGATAACTAAACCGTTTGATCTTCTGTTTTTCAATGAATTAAGTGCGTAGTGTTGATCCTACGGTCTGTCTGATAATATCATTTCTCACCTTGTCTCGGATGGTTAAGCTGGCGGCTTTCCTCATGCATCTCATTTCCATGTGTTAATTTTATGTAAGAGCCTTTGACAATGGCCAAGTTGAGCACTAGTAGTACAGTGTTAGTATGATTGAGCTATTCCTCTGGAGAGAATGGTGCAGTTAGTTAGTGAATTAGTCGTTGCAGTTCTGGCATCACAGCAAACAAGCTTGACCTATAATTGCTCAACCGCCTATGCCAGTGATTCCAGTCGCTAACTGGGTCAGATATGCTGGATACTTGAAGTGAATGCCATAGCCATACAAAGTGTCTTCAGTCAGCAAAACACACACGATTTGACCTGTGCAGCCAGCAGTGACCAGGGGAACTGGTCACTGCTCAACACTCAAGGGAGGGGTGAGACATTTACAATCAAATAGTTATTGGTACAATCAGAAATAGAACTCTGGGCTTGCTGCTGAAGATGGGGGCAGAGCACTTATCGGAATGTCCTGAGTGCCATGATGTCAGTTCTTATCTCAGAACTCTCAAAATCGGATGACTGTCTCTGATACACTTCCATACAACAGGAATGGTTTTATTCAGAACTTTTTCTCAACTAAACCGAAACACATTGTATCAAACAAAACATATGTCGCATGAAATGTGAGACAGGCGTCTCAACTTCTCCGCACAAATTCCTACTAGCACAAAACACTCACTGACTGGCTATATCACAGATTCCTACCAGCACAAAACACTCACTGACTGGCTGTATCACAGATTTCCAAGCTCACTTTGCCATCTGCCCTCTTTTCATAAAAAGAATTCAGCAGTGGCTTCCCTGTAAAGCTACCATCTCTAATTAGAGAAATGGAAGGATGCAGTGGCAAACATAGACAAATTCAGTAAAATCTTGAGAGTAAATGTTATGCAACAGATCAGACAAGAACACATTTATTTGTAAAATTGCCTTCTCTTCTCTTTTATGCTAGCCGTTATGCTAATTTTTTTTGCTTTTGCCAGACGGTGGCCGGTGCATTCTCATTCCATTTGTAGGCTGAAAGGATAGTTTAGTCGCCCAGCTTCTGAGTTGAGTGCATGAGCTGCGGATTTCATTTGGAGTGTTTTTCTACTGTGACTAATGTGGTGGTGTGAATTTTAGATTCAGAAAATGGTGTGATGCCTGTTGTTGCATGTGCAAATGCTGATATGTTGGTGACTTTTGCTGCCAACCATGATGAGCTGCATTTCTAATGTCGGACTGTTTGTGTTAGCACTTCCGATGGCTACCGTATGCTTTTAATGCTCATGTATGCTGGTGCATATGCTGAGACAGCAGTCAGTCAATCTTTTCACATGGGACTGTGATAAACATTCTGTGTTTATCATTGGCACAGGAACGGAGCAACTATCAGGGTGACCCATTTGCTATGAAACTGAAACTAAGATTATCAGATGCTAGCCCTTAATTGCTCCCAATATGCTCCCCACCCCTTTTCCCAAATTAGTTCGTGAGGGTTCTACCCCCTACCCCTTTTTCCCCCTTTCTCCATGAATTGTTCCAGCATCCAGTGGAGGATGATACATACAGCTCAGAAAAACATGGACAATTTAAGACAACGCAGTAAACAGTGGTACATTCAGCGCTGATCATAAATTAAGTAACATAGCAACTGTTTAAACACTGGATAACAAAGCAAGTGTTATGCATGAAACCCACCTGAGCATATTGTCAGAGGTCAGAAGTGCCAAGTGGGAATCTGTCTTACTGCCAGGGTGCCAGGTCACCTGCTTCACCCGAAGAGAATGTGTGCTGGATAGAGTTCTCTCCTCAATACATACAGTCCTGTAACAACAACAGACTCTCCTCAGTACATACAGTCCTGTAACAACAACAGACTCTCCTCAATACATACAGTCCTGTAACAACAACAGACTCTCCTCAGTACATACAGTCCTGCAACAACAACAGACTCTCCTCAATACATACAGTCCTGTAACAACAACAGACTCTCCTCAATACATACAGTCCTGTAACAACAACAGACTCTCCTCAATACATACAGTCCTGTAACAACAACAGACTCTCCTCAATACATACAGTCCTGTAACAACAACAGACTCTCCTCAATACATACAGTCCTGTAACAACAACAGACTCTCCTCAATACATACAGTCCTGCAACAACAACAGACTCTCCTCAATACATACAGTCCTGTAACAACAACAGACTCTCCTCAATACATACAGTCCTGTAACAACAACAGACTCTCCTCAATACATACAGTCCTGTAACAACAACAGACTCTCCTCAATACATACAGTCCTGTAACAACAACAGACTCTCCTCAGTACATACAGTCCTGTAACAACAACAGACTATCCTCAATACATACAGTCCTGTAACAACAACAGACTCTCCTCAATACATACAGTCCTGTAACAACAACAGACTCTCCTCAATACATACAGTCCTGTAACAACAACAGACTCTCCTCAGTACATACAGTCCTGTAACAACAACAGACTCTCCTCAATACATACAGTCCTGTAACAACAACAGACTCTCCTCAATACATACAGTCCTGCAACAACAACAGACTCTCCTCAGTACCTACAGTCCTGTAACAACACTCTCCTCAATACATAGTCCTGTAACAACATCAGACTCTCCTCAATACATACAGTCCTGTAACAACAATAGACTCTCCTCAGTACATACAGTCCTGTAACAACAACAGACTCTCCTCAGTACATACAGTCCTGTAACAACAACAGACTCTCCTCAGTACTTACAGTCCTGTAACAACAGACTCTCCTCAATACATATAGTCCTGTAACAACAACAGACTCTCCTCAATACATACAGTCCTGTAACAACAGACTCTCCTCAATACATATAGTCCTGTAACAACAACAGACTCTCCTCAATACATACAGTCCTGTAACAACAGACTCTCCTTAATACATACAGTCCTGTAACAACAACAGACATGTCCTCAACATCTTCTGTACTGTGATTTTTTAAATGCATGTAGTTCAGAAAAACAGCTGTCTTTAAACTATCATATTAAATAAATATACAAGTAGTGATCGCCACTCATAGAAGTAGGGGAGACATACCAGTGGTCTTCAACCTCTTTCAGGTCGCACCCCTAATTGAGTATATGGCAAGACCTCCACGCCTCCCTGAGTATTTCGCAAGACCCTTACACCGCCCTTGAGTACACTGCAAGACCCCCACACTCCCCTTTAGTTTATGGCAAAACCTGTCCCCCTTCTCCGACATAATAAAATGTCATTATAAAGAGGAGGACAATAGATTCTGCAACAAGAGAAACACGTTTCTCTCTTAATGTAAAAACGTTTTAGTTAGAATGTGTTCTTAATCTGTAATTAAATGCTTGAGCTATCATATTAATGAGATTTTTATCTGAAAATATGCAAACTGCTTTTGAAAACCTCTCAAAAATGTACCTGGTTTTTCATTTTATAAAAAGTTTTTAAAACTATTTTAGTATTTTATTTGTAAATAAACTAAAAAAAAAATTATATAATGGATAAGTAAAAATATAAATGCACTCAATTTCAAAACTGCTTTGATGCTTCCCCCCCCCCCCCTGAAACTTCTTCAGGCCCCCACCGCCCCATGTTGGAGACCACTGCACTAGACAATCTAAAATTCAAAGCCAGAGTGACCTTTAATCAAAGCAATTCAACTACAGGTAACAGTACAAGTAATGGACACTTTCCCTCGTCATTAGGTGCATTGGGCATATAGTGCTAGACAGTGGGTATGTGGTCAACATCACCAGAGGATATGGATTGCACGATAGCTTTCATAAAGGCTACCGGCCTCCTGATATAAGTTTTCTGACAGAAGGATCGAAGAAGAAGAAGAAGACTCTGGCTTAATGTGGATTTGAACCTACAACCTTCAGACCAGAGGCCTGCCCCCATGCTATTTGAATGACATGAGAGATTCCATAATGATTTACCTGCACTGTCCATATTCATCTTATAATTAATTTGTGATATCAAAATATTTTGCAGTATTCTGTCTTCTGCATCTTCTCTTCCTCCAGTTTCTGCAGCAAAGTGTCAGGGAAAGATGTTTGCTCTTTCTTATGAACTGTGCAAGTAGTCTCAGGGAAAGATGTTTGCTCTTTCTTATGAACTGTGTAAGTAGTCTCAGGGAAAGATGTTTGCTCTTTCTTATGAACTGTGTAAGTAGTCTCAGGGAAAGATGTTTGCTCTTTCTTATGAACTGTGTCAGTAGTCTCAGGGAAAGATGTTTGCTCTTTCTTATGAACTGTGTAAGTAGTGTCAGGGAAAGATGTTTGCTCTTTCTTATGAACTGTGTAAGTAGTCTCAGGGAAAGATGTTTGCTCTTTCTTATGAACTGTGTCAGTAGTCTCAGGGAAAGATGTTTGCTCTTTCTTATAAACTGTGTAAGTAGTGTCAGGGAAAGATGTTTGCTCTTTCTTATGAACTGTGTCAGTAGTCTCAGGGAAAGATGTTTGCTCTTTCTTATGAACTGTGTAAGTAGTCTCAGGGAAAGATGTTTGCTCTTTCTTATGAACTGTGTAAGTAGTCTCAGGGAAAGATGTTTGCTCTTTCTTATGAACTGTGTCAGTAGTCTCAGGGAAAGATGTTTGCTCTTTCTTATGAACTGTGTAAGTAGTGTCAGGGAAAGATGTTTGCTCTTTCTTATGAACTGTGTAAGTAGTCTCAGGGAAAGATGTTTGCTCTTTCTTATGAACTGTGTCAGTAGTCTCAGGGAAAGATGTTTGCTCTTTCTTATGAACTGTGTAAGTAGTGTCAGGGAAAGATGTTTGCTCTTTCTTATGAACTGTGTAAGTAGTCTCAGGGAAAGATGTTTGCTCTTTCTTATGAACTGTGTCAGTAGTCTCAGGGAAAGATGTTTGCTCTTTCTTATGAACTGTGTAAGTAGTGTCAGGGAAAGATGTTTGCTCTTTCTTATGAACTGTGTCAGTAGTCTCAGGGAAAGATGTTTGCTCTTTCTTATGAACTGTGTAAGTAGTCTCAGGGAAAGATGTTTGCTCTTTCTTATGAACTGTGTCAGTAGTCTCAGGGAAAGATGTTTGCTCTTTCTTATGAACTGTGTAAGTAGTCTCAGGGAAAGATGTTTGCTCTTTCTTATGAACTGTGTAAGTAGTGTCAGGGAAAGATGTTTGCTCTTTCTTATGAACTGTGTAAGTAGTGTCAGGGAAAGATGTTTGTTCTTTCTTATTAACTGTGTAAGTAGAACTTTATTTCTCTAAGGTATTCTTTCTCAGTAGTTAAATTTCTATGATTGTATATGACTTTTATGATTCTGCAGGATGTTTAGTTACAATTTAACAGAATAGCATATTGCCACAAGTCGTAAAGGGAGCTGCTGTGGTGTAATGGCTCCACGCTCACCTGTGGACCTGAAGGTCATGATTTCAAATCTAAACAGACGTGGACTTTTTTTTTTTTTAATTATCGTATTTTTCATACACACATGGCAATGCAAGTATGTTCAGTATGCATACAATTGGTGCATCACGTGTATATCACCTAAACGACTCCCATGGCTTCATTTTGCATGCGTTCCATCTTCTCTATCTGGCTGTTAGATAAAGTTACTAGGCCCAAACCTTACTCCATCACTGAAATAATCAGTTGCTGATAGAGTGTGTAGAGCATTTTCTGTTCCACGTCATCTGATGCCATCACCTAAAACTCACTGGGTCCTTTCCTTATCTTCAAAGCTACCTGTTCCAAGTGATACTTGAACAATATGCTTCTGTCAAAAGTAATGCCCAGATATTTTAGTGAATTCTCTCTCTTTATATTACCACCATTTATTGTTCTTCTTCTTCGATCCTTCTGTCAGAAAACTTATATCAGGAGGCCGGTAGCCTTTATGAAAGCTATCGTGCAGTCTATATCTCCCCGTGTACCATACAGCTTTGTCCTAATTGTGGTTGGAACATGCCAGACTGTTTCTCTGTTGTTAGAATCCAGTTGACCGTGTTGGAGCACATGCTCAGCATTTTCAGGTGCCACTCTGCAGGGACACGTCTCCGTGTTTTATACACCGAAAAATTTGAACATATGTTGACGAAATCTGTTGTGCCCAATCCTTAGTCTGAATATAATACGCTGTCCCTCTTTAGAGAGGCGATGAAGCGAGTCTTGGGGAGAAAATCTGGTGTGTGTATATAGCCACCTTTCTTGGATACTAGATTGTATTAATGTTTTCGTCTCTTGGTGGGTTAAGTCACTATTTGGTAGTCCCATGTCATTGCCGCTTTTGGCCAATCTGTCCGCTATTTCAATGCCTTTCAAATCTCTAACAAATTTATTATTAAATGAATACCACAATACCGCTACCTTTTCTGTAGTGGCAAATACATGTGGTAAAGATAGATTTATCATAAAAATCTCTTACAAGTGGCAAATACATGCAGTAAAGATAGATTTGTGACTAAATAAAACTGTACCTGCATGTCACAGCCTCTTTCCCACCCTCGAACATTGCATTCTTCCCCCAGCGTCTCGGCAACTCCACAACCCTTACTCCATGACTGCCCCACACAACCAGGTGGCTTCCACACCGATTAATGCTAATGCCTTCCACGTCGTAGGTGAATCCATCGCTGATGATAAGTTTCTGTGAAAATAAACAGTTTTATATATTCTTAATCTTATAGTGTAATCGATTAATGTAATCAAGTTTTCAGGGTTGTTTTTTTTTTGCGTATTCTTTACAGGACATTGCAGAACCAACCCTATCATTTGTTGGCTGTTCTGGTTTTCTAGGCACATTTTACATTCAGCAGTTTGCCACTGCTTTCTAAATGGTCAGCTCTTGGTACCACTGTCAAAACCAATGCAATACAAATTGTTCACAGCTTGGATCGAACCTGGTACCCCAGCATTACAAAGCACATTTGCTACGCAAAAGCCACAAATGTCGACATGTAATCGAATTATGTACTCAATATGTGAGCCAAAACCATAACACAATAATAATAACAGTTATTACTATCTTTTAGTTTCAGTCTTGAGGATAAAATGCTATTTTCTCTTAACAGAAAATGATACCCGTCAAATTGGCAGACAGGCAAGTTTACTGTTTTTAGTCACAGCATATTTTTGTTTCTGACAATCATAAACTGTTGTATTTTCCTCGTTTTGAGAACTGAAAGAATTTAGATATGTTATCCAGCTACTGAGCTGAGTGCATGGTGTGAGACTGTGAATTTCGTTTGCAATGTTGTTTGACTGTGCCCAATATGGTGTGTGTTGGGAATGGCAGATTCAGAAAATAGTGTTCCCCATGTGGGTTTCTGGGCCCCACTGTGGGGGGGGGGGGGGGGGGGGGGGGAACAAGAACAGACCCAGAAGCATGTTGCAAGAGTCAGCTAACTGGCAGCTTCCTTCAAAGTCAGAGTGCATCTGCCTGAAAGGAAATGAACCAACAGTCTGCATGCAAATGAGTCAGATCTATGAAACGGATGTACACACAACACTCAGTTTCTGGATCAGGACTAAAGTAAAAAGTGGACGAACAACCATAACTTTCCCCCGGAGTTTACAGCTGGTGAACATGAAGAAGAAGAAAGAAGAGAAAATGGTGAGTAGCTTGTTAAGAAAAGAAAATGGTGAGTAGCCTGTTATCAAACAATTGGTGATGCCTTATATGATTACCTGCATGTGCAACTAATAATCTGTTGCAGCTGCTGCTTAAATTGATTATGAACAACTGACAACTACATTTCTAGAGCTGACTGGACTGCTTGTTTGTGTTAGCACTTTTGATGACCGCTTCATGCATATGTATCTGTATGCTATTGGCTTTGCAGAGACTGCACTCTTTGTCAGTTTTCGTCACAAGGGACTCTAGGAATATAGCAAGTGCCAATTGAATCTACTCTTCTAAACTTTAGAGACTAAATCCCTCTTACCTCTACAGTACAAGCCAAGCTACTTTCAGTTTCAGTTTCACTTTCTGTTCAAAGAAAAAGTATTTTAAAAAAATGTATTTTCTCAGTCATTAGAAACTGTGTTTAATAGCAACCTACAGATTACATATTTATTATGACTGCTCCTCCATTAATTATCCAGACTGACCTGATACTTAACATCGCCTTGCCGATCACTGCTTCCATTAACCTCAGTTCGACCATCAGTAACGCTTTCTGGGGCCACCTCCTTATCCCCATCATGCTCAACCAGCGTCTTCAGGTTACAATGAAGAACCTGCCCTTCAGACACATCCCAGACGTAAAGATCACTGCCATAAACGCAAATGAGACTTTTCGCATCCGTGTTCTGCTTATTCAATGAGCTTTTAGTAGTTTTCCTCTTCAACTGCTGTACCAGTGGATGCGAATTCAGTTTACTTCTCCAACTTGCCGCTGCCGCCATCTTCTGTTTGTTGACTTTTTAGAATGTACACAGGTAATCTAAAAAGTCGGATCATTATAAATATTTAAACCGTAGAGGTAGTAATTATTTTCTGAAATATCCTGTTCGTCCCTTCTTGAGTACGGTTCTGATATGTAGAGTTGTTGTCTTTTCATTCTTTGAATATTTCTGTGTTTCTAACAAATCTTGGCTGTTGCATAGTCTTGGCTAAAATAATACTGGCTTTTGCGTTGTTATTATTTATTTGCGTTGTAAGACTATTATAGACTATATGTTTGGTCAATACTCGCAGTTTAAGCACTATTTTTTTGTCAGTTGAGACGAAAAGGAGAATTCTTTAAAGCGTTATTAATAAATTCTTGATATACGGAGGTGAATCATGGACAGTTAGTAGGGGAAAATATGTGGAAGCTGCTGATAGGTGGTTTTGTATACGAATGATGAGAATACCCTGGACAGATCAAAAAAGTAATCAGGATGTCTTGAAAGAAACTGACTCACAAAAATAACTGACTGCCCACGTCAGAAAGAGATAATCTACATTCTTTTGTTTGATAAGGAGAAGCAGAAAACTGGAGTACATCGTGACGGTAGGCAAGTTGGCGGTGAGGAGAGGCAGAGAGAGACCGCGAGAACATATGCTAGACAGTTTGAGATCATGGCATAGAGCAGGGCTTTTTAACTAAGTTTGCTCGCGGGCCAAAATGTCACGGGCCATTGGCCAGAGCCCACACTACAATTGGCAACATTTTCAATCTGTAGATTTAATACACTCGAAAACTATTAGGCCTAGGACGTAGCCTATATAAATGTAGCAGTGTTGTAAACCATTATAATGTAATGCGAACTACAATATTCTGTAATGACTAATTAATACTCACTTTTGATTCTTCTTCTTCGTATTCACCGGCTGTAAACTCCAGTTCTGGTTGTACGTCTACTTCTGGACTCTAGTCCCGTTCCAGAAACTGAGTGTTGCGTACACATCTGTTTTACACGTCTTACTCATTTGCATGCAGACTAGGTTCCTTGGCTCTCAGGCAGATATACTCCGACTTCGAAAAAAGCTCCTAATTAGTCGACTTTTGCGACATTCTTTTGGGCAGGCATTGGGTCTGGTCTCGTTTCCCCACAATAGGGTCCCGGAACCCACACGGGGATCACTTTTAATTGAAATACACCTATTTCCAACTTGTCGTTGGAATCATAAACAACCGTTACCATTGTCACAATAATAATAATAATAACTGTCCACAGTTGGTTTCATGTTCTGCAGAAGAAACCGAAAGGTATAACGATGCAAAATGTAATTAATGGCTTGATGACATTCATGTGTGAGAAGCTTGATTCACAAGTAAAAGTTGAGCCAGACATGGTGAGTATGAATACAGCAAGTTTTCAAAACTTGACTGTACCACTTTCGTGAAAATCTTCCTTCACTGCGCTGGAACTTTGCATATCCACAAGTTCTAACTGCAGAGAACCTTTATCAACAGAGGATATCAACTTCTTAGCACTGGAACAAAAATCACACGCAGGAGGGATTTTATGATCCCGAACAAATAATATTACATTGTTTGCGATATTGAAGTCGTCAAACCTGTTGTTTAAATTATTCTGAAGCTTTTTAAAATATTTATATCATTCGATCGGTTAAGGTTGCCGAGTCCAGTGTTGAAATAAAATGGCAAGCTTATTGGATTCGAATTAGGCAGAGTTGGTGATAAAAAAAAATATTTTAGTGTCAGTCACTGCTGAATGCACGATTTTCACATTCCCACTTACTAATGCTAGCCATGGCATCAAGTATTAAACTAAATTATTGAAAGTAGATAATTTAAAACACTGTTACTGATTCAGTTTGTTACTGTACAATCGCGTCCGACAATCTACGTCTGACTGTGACTGTGAATGTGACTGAACTCACTGACTGAACGTTCTTCTGGACGATATAATCTGATAACAAGATCACTAGCAGGTATTCTGCCGTGTCCAGTGTCTGGTGTTCTGCTGCATCCAATGGCATTAGTTTGTGGCACCCATCAAGGAGAGATTCTCTGTAAACTAAGCTCTAACTGTCAGGGCCGTACTGGTATTTCCGTACGCCTCCTGTCCAGTAAATATCTGACCTTCATTGAATGTCCAGTGCAGCGGTGGCCTTCCCGCGTGTTACTTGGTTCTTTCCAGTCTATCGTATTACCTTTGACTTCAAACAGGCGAGTTTTGCTATTTGAGCGAACTGGGAATGAACTTTTACCCTGATCTAATTAATTTTTCTGTTCCTATGCCTGTTCCCTTGTAGCTAAGTGTTTACAGATTCCCAACAAACACTTCTAGTTGACACATTTGACACGACTGGCTTTTGAAGAATATACAGAAACATTGATTGGTTTAATTTTTGTTATTTTTTTTAAATAACTACATTTCGCTATTTTGGCAACCATCGGCGGGCCACTTGCTAGGCCTCGGCGGGCCAGATTTGAATAGCCCTGGCATAGAGGATCATCTGTGTCAGAATTGATTGAAAATACACAAGACAGAAAATTGTGGATAGACATGATTACCAACGCCACACGTCATAAACTTTAAGAAGAAGAAGTTTTGTCAAATAGATTCTTAGCACATGTGTGTTTATATACATGTGTGTGTGTGTGTGTGTGTGTGTGTGTGTGTGTGTTGTGAGTTATGTGACAAACCTGTTATTTAGAATAATTAAGGAACAAAAAAAAAAAAAAACCCGGATTAAACCACACACAAAAGTGAAGAACAGAGTGCATTTTTTAGATTGTTTTGAAATGGTACAGACAGCGCCATATGCATGTGCATCCCCCGGGATTCTGTTGGGAAAAGCTATAGAAGTAACAGTTGTCGGCACTTGTGCTTCTTTGACAATACGAAAGCTTTTAATTGTGAGAAACATGCGGGAAATCGCTGGCCTTGCTGAAACATCCTCAGGGCTGTCTTACAAGCATTACGGGCCCCCGGGAAAGCAGGTGTGCTGGGGCCCCTGGGAAATCAGTGTGCTGGGACCCCCGGGAAAGCAGTGTGCTAGGACCCCCGGGAAAGCAGGTGTGCTGGGACCCCCGGGAAAGCAGGTGTGTTGGGACCCCCGGGAAAGCAGGTGTGCTAGGGCCCCGGGAAAGCAGGTGTGCCGGGGCCCCCGGGAAAGCAGGTGTGCTGGGACCCCAGGGAAAGCAGGTGTGCTGGGACCCCTGGGAAAGCAGGTGTGCTAGAACCCCCGGGAAAGCAGGTGTGCTGGGGCCCCCGGGAAAGCAGGTGTGCTTGAGCCCATAAGACAGCCACTCACAGGAAGGAAATGCAAATGGTCGATAATATTGAACATATATTTTACTGGTTGAATTAAGAACCGACATCACAGCACCTCCATAAGCGCTTCGTTCTCATCTTCAGTAGCAAGTGAAGTGTTCCAATTCCGATGGTACCAGTAACTTTATCCTTTTAGCATTTCCCCCAAAAAAAGTGTTGTTGAAACATAAGTATAGATATGATGTATGAAATTACAACGAATTTTTTTGTATAACTTCTATCTGCGGCATTTATTTTCACAAAATTGCTTTACTATTGGGTTGTCAGTGGTCTTCGGGGTGTCATTGTCCATGCACACGAACAAAAACCAGTTCAAACGATATTGCAACATTGTGGGTTTTTTTTTTTTTTTTCATAAGTTTTAGTCTTGAAAAAGACCGTTGAGTTGGTTTTACATTCTCGCACATGAACACTGTGAGCGCAATTCAACATTCGGGAAAACAGATTTCGGACTGTCCAACATTATCAATAAGAGCCACACAGTACTTGAGAAACTCACATCAATTTAAAATGTCATCATTATTCGTGTCTTTGTAAGACATATTAGCCAGATCCTGGGGTAGGAACCTGTCCTACTACTAGGCGCGTCCACCAGGTGGCGGATGGTGGAAAGGCCTCTAGATATAGAGGTTAGCCACGAATATATTGAATAAGTGGCCGTGAACCAAAACAGATAATGGTCATTGAGAGGAGGCGAGTTAGTTGGTGGAACAGCTAACTCTATTAAATACCTCAAAACTCTACGACATGGCCATCGGCGGGTAAAAGGCGCCATACCCCCCCCCGCCCCCACCCGCTGCCTGGCAGGGTGTCTCCTTAGACAAAGGCACGCCCATCTTGAGCTATTTCTAAATCTGGAGCTGGCCATGGGCAAAAGCTATTGTAGTCAAATCATATACAAACCGGCGGAAGGCAAGGGGAAACCACCGCTGTATTATCCCTAGAAAATCATGCCTCAAAACATTACGAATTCAGATAACGACTTGAATGGGGATTCCACTGGAATCACCTCCTCCGGTAGAGGGCATCATGTTCTACGGGTGATAACCGTCCGTCATCCAGCTACTGTAGAAAAAGTAAATGGTAGAAACATCCTGAACATTGGTACATGGAACGTCAGAACACTCGTACACAACGGAAAGTTGGATAACAATAAGATGGAAATTAAAAGAATGAACATCAACATATTAGGAATTAGTGAAATACGATGGCCAGGAGCAGAAAAAAAGTATTCAGATCAGCACATAATTATTTACTCGGGTGGGAAGGAATATAGTTAGGTAGTTGGTATTATTTTGGATCCGAAGAACTCAAAAACTGTGAAAGGATTTTTGACAATATCAGATAAAGTACTATTAGTAAAATGTCATGGCAGACCGTTTGACATCAACTCAGTACATGGCTGTTGATCAATGCAAAAATTGTGAAGTAACTATGGTAGTTGGAGATTTCAACGCGAAAGTAGGAAGTGAAAAAGTTTACGGAATAACGGGTGGCTATGGTCTAGGAGAAACAAATGTGAGAGGTGACAGATTAATAGCATGGGCTGAGTCGCACAGCATGATAATAGGTAACATCTGGTTTAAACACCATCCTCGAAGATTGTGGACTTTGACAAGTCCGTGCGATAATGTCCACAATCAGGTTGATTATATTTTGATTTCAAGAAAATT